TTAGTCTGAAAAGAAACAATAAAATATATTTGTTGTTATTTGTAAGGTTTTTTCTATCGGAAAACCATGTATGAAGTTAGAACTATGTCACTGTAACTGTTAGTTATCCAAACATTTCTTTTTTACTTTTTAAATACATTCCTCTTACCATATCAAAAACAATCATTATTTTCAGGTTTATCACAGCTACTTGGTAATACAGAAATAGACTGGTAAAAGTAGAACATTATCCTTCCAGAACTTTGTTCTTCAAGTCATTCTTTCACTGAATATGTAATTTTTAACAACCTTGTTTACTAGACATTAGAAACATCAAGTTAGCAATGCGGATCTTAAGGAGTTTTAAATTCTAGTAAAGAAAAAGAGATTGACTGGGGCCCCTGGGTGGCTCAGTGGGTTAAGCGTCCGACTTAGGCTCAGGTCATGATCTCATGGTTCATGGGTTCGAGCCCTGCATCAGGCTCTGTGCTGACAGCTAGCTCAGAGCCTGGAGACTGCTTCGGCTTCTGTGCCTCCCTCTCTCTCTGACCCTTCCCTGCTCATGCTCTGTCTCAGAAATAAATAAAACATTAAAAAAATGTTAAAAAAAGGAAAAAGAGATAGAGAAAAAAAAAGGTGTTATGATAAAAGACCACAAATGATGGAAAGAAAAGTGGTTAAGAGCATACATAGTGGTGGTAGCTCTTAGAATAGTTTGACTGACAGGTAGTTTGTATCTGCCTGACTGGGGTTGTGATGGGGTGGAGAGAAAGCTATTATATGGGAAAGGAACAGTGTGACCAAAAGCCATGGAAACCTGAAACAGTGTGGATTATTAGGAAAAGGACTGAGAGTGGGAGATATCTATATTAGTAGGGGACTAAAGTAGGGTGGAGGTAATGGTAAGTTTAAAAGTGATGGGAGAAAGGTTATGAAACTGTTACAAGGATATTCAAAGGTTTTCAGCAGAAAAGTAACTGATAACATTTGTATATTAGAAAATCACTTCAATAATACTGGGAACAGGAGATTGAAAATGGTAGCCTGGAGACAAGTGGCATCAATTAGTGAATTTTACAATGAACTAGATGTAAGTGATTAGGAGGTGGCAGCTATTTGGGTAGTATCCAGATTTCTGGGTGACTGGATAGACAATGATATATATTTTTTGAAATGTTGAATAAAGGAGACAGCACCATTTGGACCAAAAAAAATCTCACTAATTTCATCATACAGAGCTTGAGGTACCTCTGACATATACAGGTAGAGATGCCAGCATTGTATAATATAGAAGTTATTGCTTTATAGCTGATGGATAGAGTCATGGGTATGCAGTAAGACAGGAGGAGTGTATAGAATGAAAACAGGAAAGTGACTAACATTTAAACCCATGTTTAAAAACTTATATCATATAAATTATTTTATGTTTCTGGAGTATTTTAATATTCTAATATCAATAAGCACAATTGTTAATATGAAATTAAAATGTTCAGAATGGCAAAGTACACTTGCTATACTTTCATGTAGAAATACACAAGGTATATACGTGACTATATGGTTATTACGATAGATGAAATGATGATCATAGATGACAGATGGTTTAGAAAGAAGAGAACTGTTTGTGCTTAGAAATCAGGGCATTCAGGTTAAGTAAAATTGCACATTCATATTTAAATAGCATACAGACATAATTTCTTACTATGAGTTTCCTTTTAAAAAGTAAAATACTGCTATTAACATCAGGGTGCATGTATCCCTTTGAATTAGTATTTTTGTATTTTTTGGGTAAATACCTAGTAGTGCAATTGCAGGATCATAGGAGAGTTCTATTTTTAACTGTTTGAGGAAGCTCCAGGCTGTTCTCCAGAGTTGGCTACACCAGTTTGCATTCCACCAAGAACGCAAGAGGGTTTCCTTTTCTCCACATCCTCGCCAACACCTGTTGTTTCTTGTGCTGTTAATTTTAGCCATCCTGATAGGTGTGAGATGGTACCTTATCACGGTTTTGATTTGTATTTCCCTAAAACAGATCCTAAATTATGTTTTCCAGATGACTTAATTCAATGTAACACTTTTTTCTTGAACACAAATAACATACTATGTTTTCAAAATACTCTATCATACACTGTAACCAATAGAGTTATCACCACAACCCCATGAAAGAGGTAGGGTTATAGTATTTCTATTTTGCAGAACAGAAACTGAAGTATTGAGAGGTTAACTGATTTGCTCAAGATTGCACTTTCAATGAATAATTTAAATGTAGGAATCCTAACTCAGAGTTTTCTGAGCTTTTTTAAAAAATTACTCTAGACTCCTTTGTCTTTTTACAAGAAGATAGGTTACAAATGCTTATATATTTATGATTATCCATTATTAAGCAAAATTATTGTTATTCTAAAGTTTTTTAAAGTTTATTTATTTTGAGGGAGACACAGAGAGGCAGACAGAGAGGGGAGAGAGAATCCCAAACAGGCTACGAACTGTCAGCACAGAGCCCAACGCAAGGCTTGATCCCAGGAAACGTGAGATCATGACATAAGCTGAAATTAAGAGTTAGAGGCTTAACTGACTGGGCCACCCAGGTGCTCCTATTATTCCTAAAGTTTTGATATACTATAGCAGCATATATACATATCTTGGTTGATTTTATAAAATACATATAAAAACATAAGTATATAATTAGTAAATATGAGTGTTAAGTTTTGTATTGGATATTTTCACTGTCACTGAAGATCTGTTCCCTGACCTTCTCTATCCCACATTCTTTCCCAGAAGACTATATGACCGATAAGGCTAACTACCAAGTTTCCATGCTCTCTGACTTTCCAGCTGGCTTAGGCCATTCTGAGGCACTGAAACAAGATTAAAAGGCAAGGGGATAGGTATATAGGGTTAGTACTTTTATTCTCATCCTCTGCAATTTCCTTAGGCTGGTATGTGTAGTGAGAGTAGGCCACTGCTTATTCAGAGTGGCTTTTTCTATACAACTGTCATCCTTCCTAATTCGAGGAACCTCTCTCTTCCCTTATGCACACAGGACTGGGGTGGTAACACCTTTGAATTTATACTCTAGTCCTTGTGATTCCCCCCACACCCTTCCCATGTCTTTGCAATTAGCTGCTTCACAAATACACTCCCCTCAGATAAACCTAATTTGAATGTGTTATTAGTGTCATGGATAATATAATCTCTAAATCAAGAATTGCTTCTAAAATCATTAATTTCAGGGGCACCTGGGTGGCTCAGTTGGTTAAGCAACCAACTTCAGCTCAGATCATGGTCTCACAGTCTGTGGGATCCAGACCTGCGTCAAGCTCTGTGCTGACAGCTCAGAGCCATGAGCCTGCCTCAAATTCTGTATCTTCCTTTCTCTCTCTCTCAAATATAAATGTTAAAAGCAATAAAATCATTAATATCACTTTTGAAAGAAGATATATTCGAGAAATCATCTATTATTATTATATTAACAATTGAAATACTAAATATTCCTTAGATAATTCCTTGGTAGAATGGGGAGATTTATAAAAAATAAATAAAATATGCATTTTTAATTATTTAAGTGAAAATCTAAATAGACTCACTTTAAAAAATCCCGAATAGTGAGTACTCATTTCCAAAACAAAACTTTCCAAATATTACATGGTGATATCATTTTCTTAGGCTATTGTCTTTCTTAGTCTTTTATGTTTCCCAAGAATCATTTGGATTAGGACTAGGAAAACAAAGACTGCTATAAAATGGTCAATTTTGTGTCTGAGGTTCATCTATCTACAATAGTAAATATAGCAAAGTTTAAAATGAATAAGGTCTTAATCTATGACAAATATCAAAATAATGGGCAGCTTGTCTACAAGTCATTCAGTAACAATGACTTATCATAGAAAATGGACTTCTAAGTCAAACAGACCTGGTCTAGAACCCTAGTTCCAAAACTTGGTGATTAGATGAACTCAGACAAGTCATTTAACATGTTCCATTGTTCATAAAATGTAGCTATCAGGACTTATCTCACAGTGTTGTTGGAATGACTAAATAAGAATGAAATGAATGGCAGTGCATGTATTAGAAATAACAGAGACTTAAGAGTCAAAACAATTAATGCTATTTACTAGTTGCATTCCCTTGGGTACCTTATTTACCTAACTTCTCTAAGCATCAGTTTATCTATCTGTTAAAAAATAGGGGAACACATCTGGTTTATAGAACCATTGTAGATATTAAATTAACACACTTACATATGACTGAATGGGGTCTGAACTTAGGCTGTAAGACTCCAGAACACAGGAGACTTCTGTATCCAAGGCCTTTCTTTGTAAGTTCCAATAAGGCAGAATCTCATATCAGTTAAGCATGCGAACTCTGATGTCAACCTGCCTGATACGAGTCCTGACTCCAACATTTCCTCTATATGTGACGTGTTCTTAAGCAAATTACATAATTTCAGTTTCCCTACTTGAAAAATGATTACAGTAATGGGACCTACTCTTAGGATTATTGTGAAAATTAAAAAAATATAATGTCTCTAAAGCATTTGCTGTAGCACTTCGTATATTTAGTATAATATACTAAATATAATATATGTATAATGTAATATATGTATATTGTACATATAATATATGTATAATGAATAAAGATGAGATTCAGAAAATTAATAAGAAGGAATACATATCTGTCTTGATCCCAAGAATGTTATCTTCCTTCAATATTATCTTTCTTCCAACTAAGAGGAATATTTAGAGGAACATATATAATTATGCATAATTAACTATAAACTTTGGCTTAGTAGAAATACTATTTAAACAATATATTTGGGACAGTATAAAAAGACCAAAAACAATAATTATTATGGATTTAACATTGTGTACACACACACACACACACACACACAAACACAATTAAATTTAGATTTGTTCAGATTTAGATTTCATAAAGAGGAAAGGATTTTTCAATCCTCAGTAGAAATGTCTATATATCCTTGAGTTTCCCTCTGAAGACGTTATCATTTGCCACAGGTTTTGTGGGAGACACAAATTAGTGGTAAACCTGATATGTCTGGAGCCAAGTTCTGACTCTATGTGAGATGGCTTTCACTGCAGAACCAAGGTAATCCAATTCCTGAACCTCTATTTCTGGATACATTTCTTATAATGTCTCTTTTAAAAGGGATATATTGAGGGGCGCCTGGGTGGCTCAGTCGGTTAAGCGTCTGACTTCAGCTCAGGTCATAATCTCACGGTTTGTGGTTCATGGGTTCGAGCCCCATGTTGGGCTCTGTGCTGACAGCTAGCTCAGAGCCTAGAGCCTGTTTCAGATTCTGTATCTCCCTCTCTCTCTGACCCTCCTCTGTTCATGCGGGCTTTCTTTCTCTCTCTCAGAAATAAATTAAAAAAAACATAAAACAATTTAAAAGGGATATATTGAGAAATTTAGAAGTAGTTCATTATGAAATAAACCTATCTCCAAGAGTTCTAAATTTCAGGGACTCTTCATTTAGGTGATGTTTATACTTACAGCAAAATGAAATGTAGAATGATATCTTTCTTTCTCTTTAATTTTTTAACATTCATTTTTGAGAGACAGAGCATGAGTGGGGGGGGGAGGGAGAGAGAGAGAGAGAGAGAGAGGAAGGAGAGGAAGGGAGGGAGGGAGAGAAAGGGAATCCAAAGCAGGCTGTCAGCACAGAGTCTGATGCGGGGCTCAGACTCAGACAGTGAGATCATGACCTGAACTGAAGTCGGACGCTTAACTGCCTGAGCCACCCAGGTGCCCCAATATCTTTCTTTCTAAAGCTTTCTTTTAATCACTGTTTACCCCTCTTCCCTTTATAGCGCGTGAGTACCTGCTCGTTAGCAATCTGAATAATCCATCTTTAGTAGGCATCTTTTATAAGTTTGGTCAATCTGCTTTCATTTCTTGTGGCCTCCTCAATACAGGGCTCCACATCTTTGTACTTGAGTCATTTCCAAAGTAGTCTCTGAGGATTCTTTTAGAATTTCTTAAAAAGTCACCTGTTTGTTAGAAGATATGGTTTGGATCCTTGCTGACTGAATCTCTAGGCCATCATTCTTGTTTTAACTACAATTTCATGATTTATGCGAAGGTAGAGTTTGCCGTGTACTACACACAGACCTCCTCCGGGGATTAATAAATGTCAAGTCTCTAGGGCAGCTGAGTGTTGTAAAATCCTGATTACCAGAGCTGGAATTGGTTATATTACCAAGAGAAATCATGTTACAGTTTAATGGGAAGGATAAATGATTGAATATTTTAAAAAATTGATGTTTGATTATAAAGGGTTTGGAGAATGAACACTCAACAAGAAGGGTGTCTGTGCTTTATAATTTTTAATTTGAGATTTTTCAAATCACACCTTCTGAGCCTAGTCTCCTCAGAATCCTGAACAACACTACACATTGTCAATTATAAAATAAACAACACCTTATGTATTTTAATTAACAATAATACATGTTCTATTAAAACAAGGTAAGAACAATTGCAGAGATACTTATCCAGAGGTCAGCCCACTCCGAAGTGTCTAATTAGCTGCCCTAAAAAGTTAAACTGTCTGACAAGTCGTGGTGCTAGTTTCATTGTGCCAAGCACAGCTGTGGCCTTAATAATAAAAACTTGGAAAATGTCACTTAAATTACTTGGCTTTTATAAATATTGTCTCCAACATTAAACATTATAGGCATTGATCTTTTATAGATTAGAAAAGTGAGGTAGATGGATGGCAGCAATAATTAAGTAATTTTTTAATATTTGAAAGCCATAGACTGTATCAATGTCCAATACTCTCATCTTTTATTAAATTAGCTAGATAGCAATGGGTTACTGGTTGGTACAGACATTCTCTAGTTTCTTTCTATATGAATCTTTACAGTCTTGCAAAAGGAAAATTCAGTCATAATCAAATCGAAAATGCTAAAGGGCAAATAACTTTGGTAAACATTATCACAGGTAAAGCTTCTAACTGAAATTCAATAAAAATATTTACCAGGAGGCTTATAATATTGCAAAGCTAATATTGACAGGCTATAACCTAGAAGTACAAATATAAAAATTAAATCATATCCCTGATGATGGCTTTCACTTTTCCTCTTTGACATGAGACACTCTGAAGTTATCTTAATTTTAATATTTATCACATTACAGGGGCATCTGGGTGGCTTAGTCAGTTAAGCGTCTGACTCTTCATCTTGGCTCAGGTCATGATCTCACGGTTCCTAGGATCGAGCCCTGCACTGGACTTTGTGCTGACAGCACAGAGCCTACCAGGGATTCTCTCTCTCCTTGCCTCTCTGTACCTCCCTGCTTTCTCTGCTTCTCTCTCTCTCTCCCTCAACGTAAGTAACTTAACTTTAATAAATATATAGAATCTTAAAACTGCTTACCATATTTAAATAATAACCTTTTCCTGGTGCTCTCTAGACTAGTCTACATAGGCTAAACTAGGAGTTTCTGGAGCAGAAAAATCTTTCTCTATTTAGAAAAACAAACAATAACAGCTGATTTTTATGTAGCACCTGCTATGTTCTAGACACTATTCTAGGTACCTCGCATATATTAACTCAAAATATTCATAATGCTTTGAAGAAATTTTTATTACTATTAGCATCATCCCATGTTTTACTAATGGAGGAACTGAAGGACAGATGAAGGAAGTGAATTCCAAGGAATGTGCTAAAGACACACTGTTGATAAAGTCCCAGAACCCAGCCGGGATAGCCCTGGCATCTGCGTGCTTAACCACTGCAAAATGCAGTGCCTGCTTCTCAGTTTCATTTAATTTTGGTTGAATTAAAATAAGTAACTTCATATTTCCTGATTATAGTTTACAAAGATCTTTGCTTCAGGATCTAGAAGAGTAATTTTGGAGCTGCAATGTGGAGAAACTTCTCTTTCCTTCTGTTTACTTTATATGACAAGAAGGTATTAATTTCTTCTCTTGAGATCATAAATTTCCCTCTACAAGCTTATGAAAAACTTATCATTGAATGATAGTTTCTAAAATTGGTTTGGTATATATAGTAAAGATCATTATATTTTACCCTCACTTGCTTTCAAATGCTGCATCATTCAACTGTGCTTACTTTTTATGTGCCTGAAAAAGTATTTTAAAATATATTAGGGGCACCTGGGTGGCTCAGTAGGTTTGAACAGTTGAGTGTCCTACTCTTGCTTTCGGCTCAGGTCATGATCCCAGGGTCATGGCATTAAGCTCCGTGTTGGGCTCTGCACTGATCATGGAGCCTGCTTAAGATTTACTCTTTCTCTGATGCTCAGTGTCCCTCATCCTCAGAGAAATACAAATCAAAACCACACTGAGATGCAACCTCACGCCAGTCCGAGTGGTTAAAATGAGCAAATCAGAGAAAACTCTAGATGCTGGGAGGATGTGGAGAAACAGCTACCCTCCTACATTGTTGGTCAGAATGTAAACTGGTGCAGTCCCTCTGGAAAGCAGTATGGAGGTTCCTCAAAGAATGAACAATAGAACTCCCCTATGACTCAGCAGTAGCACTGCTAGGAATTTACCCAAGGGATACAGGAGTGCTGACGCATAGGAGCACATGTACCCCAATGTTCATAGCAGCACTCTCAACAATAGCCAAATCATGGAAAGAGCCTAAGTGTCCATCACCTGACAAATGGATCAAGAAGATATGGTTTATCTATACAATGGAACAATACATGGCAATGAGAAAGAATGAAATCTGGCCATGTGTAGCAACATGGATGGACCTTGAGGGTGTTATGCTGGCAAAATAAGTCAGGCAGAGAAGGACAGATACCATATGTTTTCACATATAGGAGGATTAGAAGGAACTTAACTGAGGACCATGGGGGAGGAGAATGGGGGAAATAGTTGGGGAGAGGGAGGGAGGCAAACCATAAGAGACTCTTGAATGCTGAGAACAAACTGAGAGCTGATGGGGGTGGAGGAGGGGGGAGGGGGTGGTGGGCATGGAGGAGGGCACTTGTTGGGATGAGACTGGATGTTATATGGGAACCAACTTGACAATAAACTATTTAAGAAAAAAAATATTTACTCTCTCTCTCTCACTCCCCACCACCTCTGTCTGTCTCCCCGACTCATGCTCTCTAAAATAAACATTTAAAATTAAAATAAAATACATTAGAGAGTACATTTCTCTAAAGGAATTTTTTTCCTTAAAGGAATTTTAGGGGCGCCTGAGTGGCTCAGTTGGTTAAGTGATTGACTTTGGCACAGGTCATGATCTCACCATTCTTGAATTCCAGCCCCACGTTGGGCTCTGTGCTGCAGAGCCTGGAGCCTGCTTCAGACTCTGTCTCCCTCTCTCTCTGCCCCTCCCCCACCTATGCTCTGTCTCTCAAAAATAAGTGTTAAAATTTTTTTAAATAAAAAAATAAAGCTATTTTATTTGATAGGATAAACATGATAAATTATAAAACAAGAATGTCTGACATCATATTGTGAACTGTTTTGTAGGATTGGATAGTCATATACTATATTTCAGTAAAATCACACATAATTATATCACTGATTGGCTATATTGTCCTAAATCATGTTTCTATGTGCATAGTGGTATAAAATACCATTGTAATAGACCAGCTATGATGGATTATGTTATCTCTCCTCTCTTCTGTTAATGGAATTCAGCCATACTTGAAACTATTAATTGTTGTATGCTCCATTAAATAAAATGTGTATTTAACATACAGTGAAGTTCTTCAACCACAATAATTTAGAACTTGTTTTAAATTAAAAAATATTTTAGAAAATTCTGTAATTGCTCCGGATTTTATGTATATTAAGAAAAATCTGTTTATTATTAGGAAACTTTAGTCTGGTTTAATTTTCTCATCAGTTCAGCATTTAAAGTTTCTTACTCTTTGAGGGTCTAGCAACAGTTTTGTGTTAAATTATTTTGATGTTTTTACTTATTATTATTTAATGTGGGAATTTTAGAAATTGTGAAGTTTCCAATGAATTAATGAAATGTATTAAAAAATATGTTATTAAATATGCCCATCTTTTAAAATAGGAAATATTTTAATGAATTTTATTTAGTGCCTATCATATAACAGATATTACTTGGGTATTCTTATATTAGCTTACTTTTTCATTTATATAGTGTTTTTATAATACCACTTTTTCTCCAGATCAGATAACACTTTCAAAGCCTTACCTATATTCAGTAACTGTGACATTTATATTTCACAGTCCCCTTGATCTCTATGTGCAAGGTCAGTTCTCTGGTTCTATAACAAGTCACTCTTGCTACCAGGTTAAGAAAAATCTATCCAGGTTATCAGATACCTGAGTGTCTGCTTTTTTTCCAATCCTTATATCCTTGTCTTAGTAACTCTGAAATAGAACATTGGCCTTCTAGTAGATTCTATCTGGTTTTTGACAATCTTTTCCTTTTGCAGACAGGGTGGTATAACACCAAAGAGGGCAGCCTGGGTTTAAAACCTGTTGCATCACAAAGCCTTGAGGCAAATGGGGCTAATCGCTTAGCTTCAAGGGCTGCTATGCAGGTATGTTTGTTTTGGTTTGAATGACAGCCACATCTCCCAATATGCATGACTGCACATGAATATATTTGTTTTCTTGTAAATTTAACTAAGATCAGTTCTCTAAAACGTGGGATGATGTTTGTTAACATCTTTTTTACAGGAAAAAATGTGAGTGTGTGTGTGTGTATGTATATATATATATACATACACACATATATATATATGGCACATGATATACACCAAACATATGTTAGTTTCCTGTCTCTTTCCTGTGTCTCTTTTATTTTTTAACATTAAGTGTGTATGACTTAATTGTTTTACATTTCTGTGCACGACTATGTTCATAGGCACTGATTTACTCATTCTTCTTTTCTCTTCTTTTAAATCTTTCATTATCCTACAGATATACTCACAAAAGTGTCCAAAGTTGTTATATACACGAATGTTTATTATGGGTTTTTTTGAGGGGAGGGGAGAGGCAGAGAGAGAGGGAGACAGAATGAATTCCAAGCAGGTTCTGCACTGTCAGTGTGGAGCCCAATGCAGGGCTCAAACTCAAAAACTGAAACATGAAATTACGACCTGAGCTAAAGTTGGATGTTTAACCAACCGAGGCAACCAGGCACCCCGTGATTTTGTAAATAATAGCAAATTGAAAATAATTTAATATTTATCAATATGAAGCAAGTTTAATAAAACACTAGAAATCTATTTAACTGTTTAAAAATATATACTAATAATATGAAGACATGTCCAGGATATAGTAACTAAAATAGGGGGAACACATAAAATTTTTCGGGTAGTGGAACTACTCCGCATGATAGTATCTCGATGGATACATGCCATTATAAATTTATCAAAGCCGGGCACCTGGGTGGCTCAGTCGGTTAAGCGTCCGACTTCGGCTCAGGTCATGATCTCACGGTTTGTGGGTTCGAGCCCCGCGCCGGGCTTTGTGCTGACAGCTAGCTCAGAGCCTGGAGCCTGCTTCAGACTCTGTGTTTCCCTCTCTCTCTGACCCTCCCCCATTCATGCTCTGTTTCTCTCTGTCTCAATAATAAATAAACATCAAAAAAAATTTAAAAAATTAATTTATCAAAACCTATATATACAATATATATAATATCCAACCCATCATATATCATATCCTAGAAATCTTAGAATAAACCCTTGGAATAAACATATGCATGGGTTTGTACACGTGTCTTCAAAAGCACTTATTAGTTTGCTTTTTATCAATTGTGAAACTGAAAAATTGAGAGCAAGCTAAAGGCCCATTAATAGAGCTCAGGTTAAGTAAGTTATGGGAATGCAAGACAAGAGCTACAAAATAGGTAGGTTTGTCACACACTGCCTGGAACGGTGTTCATAATTTATCACTGAGTAAAGAAAGCAAATGGAACCCAATTTAGTAGAAACAATTAATAAATAGATACCAAAATTCTTATGGAATTGTATTACATTGAAGTCCTTCCAAACAACATCAACAACTAAAAACACCTCTTTTAGTTTATATAAACTAGGCTCCAATTAGAGATAGTTAAGATTATGACTTCCTAAGTAGATGGTAAACTTCTTGGGAAAACTTTTATTATTTTTCTTCATCTTCCTCACATGGTGAAAACACATATGAGATTTCAATAGAAACTGCTGAATGACTGATGCTTCCCATGTTCACTATTCTTCTTCCTAAGCGTATGGGTTCTAGAATCAGAATGTCTACATGTGAAAGCCCAAAACTTTCCAAAACTTCTTAGCGAAGCGGCCTTAGATAAGCTATTTAACTTCTTTGTGCTAGTTTCCTTATCTATAAAATAGGAAAGAGTTAATAACCATCTCATAGGTTGTAATATGGATTAAACGTGCTCAGAACATTAACTGCCACACTGTAAGTACTCAGTAGTTGTTAGCTATTATTACCAATTAGTTTTTAGAATGATATAATGACTGCATTTGAGAACAGAATAATGTTACTTTCCCTGACTACCAGATGATGCATGAAGTCAGTGTCTTTGCGTTCTATTTAAAACAAAAAACACAACATTGTGAAAGACAAGCAAATTGTTTCTATTAACACTGAAAAATCTGTTTTCTTTTTGAGGTTACAGATATGCTCCTTGTCTCCTATCTTTAACTTATCACACAATATCACAATATCACATAATATAATAAACCCTAATATAATCATTACCATTATTATTGGGGTCAGACCACAGATCTAGCCCTCTGGGTCCTCTAGATCCTCATTCAGTCATCAGAAATCCACCTGGTCCTTTATGCACTTGAACACTGATCCCTGACTTTGTTTCTCTTGGCACTCCATCGCTAAGCCACTTGAACTTCATTTGATTCATCTTTTCCCCCCGGTTTCCTGACCATGATTATATACTTTTGTATGGGAAAAAATACTTATATATTTACTCAGTTCAGCTTCCAATATCAATAAAATAATATAGTAACAACATAAAGTAGAAAAATAAAGTAAATTTTTCTAAAAATAACAGGGTGCAGGATAGATAAACAATGAAGGTTGACAAAGATAATGCCAGCTACCTACCAAAAACACAGAGAAACGAACGAAGCTGTTCTTGTTCTCCAATGATTAATAAGTAAGTAAGTAAATAAATAAGTAAATAATGTAAACACTTAAAAACACAAAAACAAACAAAAAGGTCATTTACCACAAAAAGAAACAAAAAGCCACCAACTGGGTGGCTCAGTTGGTTCATCGTCCAACTCTTGGTTTTGGCTTGGGTTGTGATCTCACAGTTCGTGGGTTTGAGCCCCATGTTGCCCTCTGTGCTGACAGTGTGGAGCCTGCTTGGGGTTCTCTCTCTCCATCTTTCTCTGCCCCTTCCCTGCTCTCTCACTCACTCTCTCTCTCTTAAAATAAATAAATACACCTTAATTTTTTAAATAAAAGGACATTTAACACAAGCAATGTTATTTTTTTAAGACTGTTCTATTTTTAAGTTTTGTAAACTTTTTCCTGTTTACCTTTAACAGTCTTTTCACTGAAACTGTTTTCCATTGGAAGCAAATCTACATAACTTTTTTCTTAAAAGTTTATTTTATAATTTTTTATTAATAGATATAGCAAGAGAATGAGGCTTTAGTAAAATTTTCCTTTAGGGGATTATAAAAAGATAAAAAGAAAAAGATTTTCTCCAATATTTCCATGAAAATTTTACATAGCCAATTTATTCTAAATAGAATGTCTCATCAAGAGGACCAAAAGCTTAATATTGATATTTCACATTTAAATTGTCCTTATTTATCTAAATTTCTTGTAGGTAGAAGCTTTAGTTTTACATGTAGCCTTATGATTTTTATCAGCAATCTATTGAGATCAGCAGTCTTAGTTTGTTGTTTCCATTCACAGGTGAGATCACAGAGACTCAGAGAGGTATACGGCTAGATTCTTAATAAATAAATAGTGCAAGACTGAATAAATATTCAGAGAAGAATACACAAAAGGAATCAAATTCACAAGGCTTTTTATTAAACAGGGGAGAAAAAAATATATATATATACATACATATATGTATACGTATACTTATGTATACATATGTATACATATATTATATGTAAATTTATTGTAGAATGCATCTCTTATTTTAGAGATGAAATACAAAGGTAGAAACAGACACAGAAACCTTATCTTCTTTCTCTGTTTTGCACTACCAGTTAATGATAAGCCCAAACAATAATGCAACTCTCCTTATTTCCTAACAAAACATGAAAGTCCATCTTTGAATGCAGGTTGTAGATATGCAAATATTTCAACTCATTTTTCTTAAAATTAATTCCTTCTCCAAAATGGCGAAAACTGTGAATACAGGTAGACTCTCAGAAATGTTTGGTGCTAGAGGCACCTTGTTAGCTCAGTCAGCTGAGCGTTCAACTCTTGATTTCATCTCAGGTCATGATCTCACCATTTGTGAGATGGAGCCCCATGTAAGGGCTCTGTGCTCGCTCTCTCGCTCTCTCTCTCTCTCTCTCTCTCTCAGAATAAATAAATATTCTTTAAAAAATGTTTGGTACTAAAAAGCATGAAGTTGAACAATGTTAATCACTTGAAATTTCACACAGCTCATTGCTAAATGTTTTCTTTATTTTTATACTGATGATTGTGATGAGAATAATAATGAAGCATTATTCTTCACAAACATCTGAATTGCCTCCAGTATATTTGAAAAACCTCCTATTAAGAGTCCTTTCAAAAAAACATTTTTAAGAACAAGTTCTGTTTTTCCTTCTAAGATATTATTGTTCCAAATGGGAGGAGTTCCTGCCAGGTTCCTATCATGTTCACATTACCGTAAAGGAAACAGTCAAGAACTTCATGAAATTGTTTTTTTGCCAGTCAATGAGAACCAATTGTGAAAAAGGCCATTTTCATAGATTTTTGCTTGTTTTGTTTTTCCAGATTAGTCTTATATTTTTAGTGAAGCTTTCAGTCCATTTTGTCAAAATAGCTATTGGAAATAGGAAACATTATTTTAAATGCTGTATGAACAATGACTATGCCACCAATGAAAAAGAAAGGTGATGGGGGACTTGGTGGCTCAGTTGGTTGAGCTCCTGGCTCTTGATTTTGGCTCAGGTCATGATCCCAGGGTTCTGGGATTGAGCCCTGTGTTCAGCTCCATTCCTGGGCATGGAGCCTGCTTAAGATTCTCTCTCTCTCCCTCTGTCCCTGGTTCCTCCACCGCCATGTGCGTGCTCTCTGTCTCTCAAATAAAAATTAAAGAAAAAAAAAAGATTTTTTTTCATCACTCTCTAGGGAAAAGAAAGAACTGACTTCCACTAGAGGGAGCTTTAGTTCTCAGATGTGAAGATAATGAAGCTCACATTGGAGCTGCAGTTTCTGTGATGCCTAGCCACCTTGTAGGCACCCTTTATTTTTCTATCATAGATAAACAAACAAATTACTATGCTTGGGTGTGAGTGATGAAGGAGAGGGGAGATTAGAGAGAAAGACGCAGAGGGGGTTGATATTTGACTTGTCCTAAAAGTAC